ATAACGTTAGCCAAAACATGAGGAAAAGTCAAGGTGTGTGGCTGTTGTTTTCGTGGTGTGTATCTAAAACAATTTGACATAACCTTACACATTAAGACAAATATTAAGACTAGCATTACAGTTGACACTAACAGCTCTTTGCCTGCAACCTTGGCCCACTTGCAGTCTGCACTGCAAGCACATTACTGAACAGTTAACAGCCTGAGCTAGTCAATCTGTCTCCACTAACATTTCTAGACAACAAATCTCTGAATATCTGTCTAACTAGGAAATAACCTAACAGTACATAAGAATCTTGACGTGACAGGCATCTCTCTGCTAATGCAAACATGACAGAATCATTATCAGTGAGACTGAGATCACACAGAGATCTAAATCACACCCACAAAATTATCTGTCTTGCAGCTGTACTGTGAAAATCTCATACTGCTGACAACCATAATTTAGTCTTGATATGGTCGTGTAGAGTGTCCATTTATATTTAAAAGGGGTGTGCAAGTGAGCAAAAAAAGTTCATGTCAAGCCCTGAAAAAACAGTCTGCAGATTTCATAGTTGCATAACACCTTTTAAAGATATAGTCAAATCTGTTAATCTGATCAAGTATGTTAAATTTAGAGGCATACTTGAGATTCCATAATTATGTCGAGTTATGTTTCACGACAATTCAGCTCCACATGCGAGTTCTATACTACATATGGCCACGTAACGTTTAGCGTGCTTACACGCACGTACGTCTCAGTGATGTGTCAAGCAGGATGATGAATCACTCACTGCTTGTGTGTGGGGGAGGGAAAGGTCTGAGGCAATGTTTGCAACAACTCTAGGAGAGCAAAATGCCTTATCAAGCACTGCGTCTCAGACACAACGACAGATAATCAGTAAAGACAAATTACACACAGCATACACACGACCACTGTACAAAACAATGAAACCACGTACGTTGCCCCTAAACTGTTATAAAAAGCAGCTTAGGTACTGAGTTGTTAACGTAACGTTAAACACAGCTCACTACCGCCCACCACGGTGTACTCTAATGAAACACAATGTAAGATAGCTAGCTCGTTCTAACAATTTTTTTTATTTGGTGTGACTGTTCGGGTTAAAACGGAATGTTAGAAACCCAGAACATCAGGGACTAACAGTCCATAAAAAGCTATGTTAAGTTGGCATATTACTACTACGCTGCTCCAAAAACAAGATACATTGTGAATGTCGAATTTCTACTTACCTATATCATGTTCGTTTACAGAGTCTGGGAAGCTTGCCATTTAATAAGGACACCAACCTAAGAGAAAAGCCAAGCACGGACGGTAAACTTTCGTGGAAATAACCAACTGGTACAGAAATAGGCGGCTCCTTTTCCGCTTCCAGTTTTGAAGTCGGTTCAGTTTCCTCCGCCGAGCTGAGCCTGCCAGGTGAAAACACGGACGTCGCTGGGCCTCAGATATGTCCTTTTTCCCTCAAGTCCTCTACAATACACTTTATTTTTCCTTCAGATCAATATTATACTGCCCTGACGTCAACACACTCGGATTAAAAGCTGTTTAATTAATTATTTGATTCTGTAGACCCGTGCACAAACTATAGTCACATAATGGCTCCTAACTGGATAGTCTCCTCCCCTCCTCTCCTCTCCTTTCCTTTCCTTTCCCTCTCCTCCTCCCCCTACTAAACAAAAAACTATTTAAAAAAAAAAAAAAAAAAAAAAACATTTTCAAAATTTTATTTCACAGAATAAAAAAAGCTACACAATATAAAGAAAACAACAGAGCAGTGCCAGGGGTAAAACAATAATAAAATAAAATGGAAAAAATAAAGGGAAATCGACATATTCTTAGTAAAGAGCTGATATTTTTGCATTGTTAGAAGAGGAGATAGTCTTTATGTAGAAATCCATGTAATTACAAGAAGATAGGAAGCAGGGTTTGGTTTTTTCAGATTTGCATTTGTTAGAAATTAAGCCAATTCTTTTGTTGGAAGAACAAGAAGTGAAGACAGGAGAGGACTGTTTAAAATCAACAGAAAGTTTACTGAAAGTCTGATTACAGGAAAGTCTTACAGCGCTGGATTCAGAGAGATAGAGCTCACGCAGGAAAACCAACTTCTGAATCCCGAATCATGTATTACAATGCATTTTATTTTCTTGGGCTGCTCCGCCTTGGACAGAGGTACAACATTCAACAGCTTTTGATCCTATTGTCCATTTGGTGTGAATCGGGGCTCCCCTTTGTTTCAATGTGTTAGAGTCTAGGTGTATGTATGTGTGTGTGTGTGTGTGTGTGTGTGTGTGTGTGTGTGTGTGTGTGTGTGTGTGTGTGCTTTGTGTGATAAGTGT